CCCCAAAACCCCAAAACCCCAAAACCCCAAAACCCCAGTATCCTTAATTTCGTTGAAGACATCTATGGAAATTTAATTACCATAATTCTTTTCTGGATGTCTGTTTGCCAATCTGGAATGAAGGCACATGCTTCTTCATTACCTCTGGAACCTCTGTCTGAGACAGAATCATTGACCCAAATGCTATATTTGAGAATTAAGGCGCTTACTTCCTTTGAAAGGGCTGATCTTGGTCGTTCTGTTTTTCAGAATCTCCCTCAGCTTTTTCTTTTTAGACATTGTACTCTTGAAATGAATCTTTTTGTCCAAGTTTCTGTCAGGACTTCTATGGAAATTAATCGATTGGACATGATTGTGTCCCTCAAATGGCTTGGAAATATTAGGAATGATCTCGAAATTTCCACGTTTCTCCACACTATGATTAAACTTCAGTCCCTTGGCTGAAGTCAAAGATTGATTCTTGTTGTTCTTCACAATATGGTACTCATCTCCTAAGGCATAACTCTTGTATCCATATTTCCTTCTGATCAAACTCTCTGTTGATAAATTGAAACTTCCGTTAAGAGTATTAGAGAGTCTGGAGGCATTATTCTTCATCTGGCTGTTCGCTTTCTTAATCTGGGATATAGTCTTCCTCAAGTTTGAATTCTTCTCCGGACTATCCAAAGCAAAGTTGGTTTTTCTTCCTGGTGTCTTCATTTTATTTGGGCTGATAGTAACTTTTCTGTTGTTTACAGAACTTCTCTTAGATAATGATCCTGTGTTTTCTAAAGAAGTCAGATCAAAATTTAGAGTAAACTTGAATGGTAGGACTATAAGCAACTGTATCTTACCTAATTTATCGAAAGAGGTATCTTGAATTGTACTCTCAAGTCTATTAATTCTTGCTTTAGGTGAGTCATCAATCAACTGGGAAATCTGGCTTTTCATAGTAGCTTCATTAAACCTATAGTGATCTTGCTTTTTCCTGTATAGAGAGTTGATAACTTCAACTCTGTTATCCCTATGCTGGGTGGATCTTAGTAGTCTATCACATAAATGATCAATTTGGTTGAGTTTTTCTAGAATTGAAATGAAGGAGCTTACCATGGTCTCTTTTGCGAGGCCTTGTGTTAGCTTCAGACTCATTTCTAAGGATCAAAAAGATCAAAACCTACAACATTTTAACTGCTCTCTGATGTGAATCAGCAAAGTTAATGTTATATTTCCCTAAATCAGGCGGATTTGTTCTATTTTTGAAAGCCTCCTCATGGCGGACTCTGCTAGTCTACAAATGAACTTCAGTTGTATACCACTTTAAAACTATATGACCTACAGGATCAGGAGCGAAAGTTTACCCTTGAGACTTGTCCATCTTAGTTGGAGAATTACTCTTCATCTTATTCCTTTGCTGAATAGCTTCGGTCTCCTTTTGCTTTATACAAAAGTGAGTTTAAAGGAAATATCAAATAAAATTTATTTCAAGTTTTGCTGCTTGACTAAAAGCTCAAAGGGTTTAGTCAGATAATTGAGGGAGTCATACCTTCTTGATTTCTTCCTCTCTAGCGATGATTTCTCTGAACTCTTGGTCTATCCCACTGATCATCTCCATTTCATCAACGGGCTCTTCTGTAAAAGATTAGGTTAATCCGAGTAAGATTGATTGGAAAATAAGGGATTTTGCTCTTTAGATAAGGTTTGATATAAGTTTTTGGAAACAGTCAAAAGTATGAGTCAGTGCAGTAGACTAATATGTCGAAGTTTTTCAATATGAAGGAAAGGGGTTATGGATTATGATACAAGCAGAATTTAACTAGCGGCAAGGATATCAGTTTAATAGAAGACAACATCTTTTAAAAATTTCTTTTGCTTCTTTTAATATCTACTCACCTATAACTCTTTTCTTCTTTGCTGCAAAGGACAGGAACTGATTAATAGTTTGCTTCCCACTCCTTGAAAACATCGGAACTCCCTTCCCAGAATTCCCTTTAACCGCCTCAGTCACAATAATCATATTTACTCAATTTTACAAATTTTTTACGGGGTTTTGGGGTTTTGGGGTTTTGGGGTTTTGGGG